AAGTATATACTTTGCTTTCCTTAAAAAATAGTATTAAACATTAGATTTTTCGTTCCTTAAGTTATCACAGTTCCAGGCATATGACAAAATTCAGTAATAATAAGTGTTCTAATTATTAGTTTCGTTACCATCATCAGTGATGAATAACGACTTTCCCAGGCCTAAAGTGTTCTCTGCCACTTCTCTTGTCTAAATCATTCCACTTATTGATCTACTACATTTATAAGTTATCTTAGTAAATTTCTGACTCCTAAGTCCCATAGCTTCTGCTCAGCCTTCATCTCATGCTTCTAGGATTTGGTTGACATGGAGGGTATGTCTAAAACGCTCTTGTCTTTTGGTTCCCACTTCAGATTGTTATTTCACTAAGAAACTATGCTGAGTAAAGATACTAAGGACTAACCTTTCCTTCAGATTGCTAACCAGTGCTTCCCTGTGTATAAATTTAACAAGTCTACTTTTGCTGGGTTCCTGGGAATCCATGAAAAGAAACAAACGAAGTGAAATAGATTCAGATTGAGCCAAATAATTTAAAGGGCATCGATTTCCAAAGAGCATTAGATCTGAAGTCAAAGCCGACTTTATGTGCTGCATGGCAATTGAAATTGAGTCATTTTCGCTGCTGTGTATCTCCTAGTGACAGACGAGGAATTCGAAGCTTCTAGCATCACTGTGGTTGCCCTCACTATCTTCCCGTCACTGTCAACCTGATAACTACATCCACTCTGGACATCCTAAGTGACTGAAAATCAATGCATCTTCAAAACTCGTGAGCATCCACCTTTATGGAAAGTAAATTGTATTTTAAGACCAAGGATTTGGGGAAGTAACTTATGTTTGATCTTTTGTATTTGGCTTCTTCAATGGTTGCTTTTGGACAGACTGCTTACCCTTTCTGAGCATTAGCTGCTTTGTCTGCAAAATGGATTGCTTACTCTCTGTTCCACAGGGCGGACCTGAGACTAAAACAAGGTTAACATTGAGATTAGTCATCCCTTGTATATTATGATGCTTTCATCAATGTCAGTTTCCTTCCTTCCGCATCCCCGTATTCTGTGAATAGTTAACTCAATCTATAAGCCTGTTGTTACTGAGAAGAATTGTTCGCCTCTCACCCAGAAAGTATGTCAATACAAATTTCTGTTACTTAAGCCCTCAATTTTACGTGCTTTGTTATGCCAGCACTACAAAATTAGCAAACGTACATTATTTTTAGATTGGTCTTTACTTGTAATGAAATCTCTGAAGAATTAATTTGTAGTCACACCTATAAGCAGACTTTCACTTTCAAACTGAAAAAGAATGGTTGGAAATGTCTTTCAGCCAACTCTAGATAGCATATCTCACAATATAATAGTTCAATAATAAAGAATATAAGGGTCTGGGAAGATAAATCAGTTGGTAAAATGCTTGCCACACAAGCATGGGGACCTGATTTTCATACGCAACATCCATACAAAGAAGCCAAGCACAGTGGCCAAATCTGAAACCCAGTACTCATGGAGTGGAAAGAAGAGGATCCTGGAAGTTACCCGAGCAAAATTGGCAAGTTTGGGAACAGGGAGAAACATCATCACAAAAAACAGGTGGAGAACAAATGCTTTTGTAGTATGATTGGGTAATAGCCAGAACCTGGAAACGACCTATATGCCCCTCAATGGAAGAATGGATAAAGAAAGTGTGGCACATATATACTTTAGAGTTTTACTCAGTGGTACAAAAACAATGACATCTTGAATTTTGCATGCAAAAGGATGGAAATAGAAAACACTGTCCTGAGTGAGATAATCCAGACCCAAAAAGACGAATAGGGAATGTTCTCTCTCATTAGTGGACTTCAGTCATAAATAAAGGACACTGAGCCTATAGTTCGTGATCCTAGAGAAGCTAAATAATAAGATGAACCCAAAGAAAAACATATATAGATCCTCCTGGAAATTGGAGGCAGACAAGATTTCTGGGCAAAAGTTGGGAGCATGGGGATGGGGGAAGGAGTTGGGGGAAGAGGAGAGAGGGAGAGAGAAGGGAGAAGGGAAAGATTAGGGAGATTTTGGGGGAGTGGGATGGTTGAGATGGAGGAAGGGCGGATATGGCAGCAGGGAAGAAGACATGTTAATTAAGGGAGCCATTTTAGGGTTGGCAAGAGACTTGGCCCTAGAGGGGTTCCCAGGTGTCCATGAGGATGTCCTCAGCTAGGCCCTTGGGCAGTAGAGGAGAGGGTACCTGTACTGGCCTGGTCCCATAGTCACACTGATGAATATCTTGAATATCACCATAGAACTTTCATCCAGCAATGGATGGAGATAGAGACAGAGACCCACATCAGAGCACTGGACTGAGCTCTCAAGGTCCAGTTGCAGAGCAGAAAGAGGAAGAAGATGAGCAAGAAAGTCAGGACTGGGAGGGGTTGGTCCACCCACTGAGAAAGTGTGCCTGATCTAATGGGAGCTCACCAAAGCCAGCTGACCTGGGACTGAACGAGCATGTGATCAAACCAGCCTCTTTCAATGTGGTTGACAATGAGGGCTGACTGAGAAGCCAATGATAATGGCACTGGGATTTGTTTCTACTGCATGTACTGGCTTTTTGGGACCCTAGACTGTTTGGATGCACACCTTCCTAGGCCTGGATGGAGTGGGCGAGGGAGTTGGACTTCCCACAGGGCAGGGTACCCTGCCCTCTCTTAAGACTGGAGGGGGAGAGAGGAGGAGGAGTGGGGGAGTGGGAGGGAAATGGGTGGAGGGGAGAAAGTGGAAAATAAATGCTGCTATAGACATATAATTCCAATGTAAAAAAAAAAAAGAGTCACCCAGGTGGTAACAGTTATGAAGGCATAAAAGGTGTCACGGAGAGCAGTTGAGGCGTGGTACTATGGGAGGCCAGGAAAGGTCACTGATGAAGGTGCATCCTCAGTGACAACTGAAGGTCCAGGACTAAAGGGGTCATAGAAATAAGTTGAGGCTTGGCACCATGAAGAGAGCCTATGAAAGCGCAGCCCAGATGCAGCAAGGGATCCAAGCATATGGAGATGCCAGCATCATGCAAAGACCACCAAGAACAGTAGCAGCAATGGAGCTGAACCAGACGGTGCCTGGAAGACAAGCTGTGTGTGCTTCAGAGGGCAGAGCCAGAGAGCGACCCAAGTGCTTTAGAGGAGTCCAGAAGATTGGGAATGGATCCCAGATATTGGATGGGTGGAATTTTGTTTTGCTTTCATTGTGACTGTGCCCTGGGTTTTCCCTCTTGAAGTGAGAAAGTATTTTACTGGAGTCCATAGTTGAGAGACTTGAATTGTAAAAGACTTTGGGTTTTTAAAGAAACTGACTATTTTTAAGGAACTGATAGTTTAATGTGTTTGAACTTGTAAAGGCTGTGGGACTTTTAACGTTATTTAAGATTGTGGGGATGAATAAGAAAGGAAGGGTTGTGGCTTAATAGTGATGTGTTTGTGTGTCAACTTGACACGTGATAGAGAATCATCAGGGGAGGAGCCTCAGCTGAGGGCTTCTTGAGATCCAGCTGTAAGGCATTTTCTCATTTAGTGATCCATGGGGGAGGGTCCAGTCCATAGAGGGAAGTGTCATCCCTGAGCTGCTGACCCTGGGTTCTGTAAGCAGATGGGCTAAGCAAGCCAGGGGAAACAAACCAATCAGCAGCTCCCCTTCATGGCCTCTGCATCAGTTCCTGTCTCCAGGATCCTGCCCTGTTTGAGTTCCTATCCTGACTTCCTTCAGTGATAAACAGCAATGCTTAAATGTAAGCCAAATAAACCCCTTCCTCCCCACCCCTCAAAAAAAAAAAAGAAATCTGTAGGGGATTTGGGACTCTTTTCTCATTAACATATGTTCTATATTTTGTGAAATATTAATATTTGTAAAATATTTCTATATTTCATTAAAATAAAATATCAAAATGTTAAAAAGATAAAAATAAATAAAAAAGGTGGAGAGCAATTGACACATAATGCTGACCCCTGGCCTTCACACACACACATACACACAGAGAAAGACAGAGTCAGAGATACAGAGACAGGGAGCAAATAAAAGAGAATATTAGGAGTCCAATGTAAATGACTTATATTCTAATTTTCCAATAAATGTATAGTTAAGTCTAGACTGTTCATAGTGAAATAGACAGCGGGCTGAGAATAAAGATACCAGAGAAATACAGAGACCTCAGACCCTACAATACTGTCCACATGCCTATATCAAATCAATACAGTCTATAGAAAAATCTTGTCTTTTAAGAGCTATAATTGGACTCTTTCTCCCCTATTAAGTAAAGAAGTTACAACAAAAATCATACCCACATATTTCTCTTTCACCTAAATTTGTCAACTACTGCTGTGTGAATAGGCAAAGCATCTCCCTTCCCATTTTGTTACATTTTTCAAATAAAGCTATCTTCACACTATTTCCTTGAGATTGTGTGCTAGAAGGGCAATTATCAAGTCCAAATTGTCATATTTTTAATAGCTTTCATACTTATTACCACATTGATTTTCAGAAAATCTGGTTATTCATTCACTGGGGGCTTACTCCCAAGGTAATCTTTGGTCTTAAGAGAAAGAGCTGTGTCTTAGGGAATATTGAGAGCATCTGTGATCAACTGCCACATTCAATAATGACCATCACATTGTGAAGAGCTCAAAGGCAGACCGGGCGCTTGCAAAATGTGCAGGAGTCTCAGATCTCAACCTCCTCCACCCCTGGAATGTGGTGTTTAAGCTCAGTGCAAACGAAGAAGCCAGCTGGAGGGCTAAGCTGCAATCATCTCTAGTCTCTGCACTCATGGGGAGGGTTCCAGTGACCTGCACATCCGAGTGTTTAGTTTAGAGATAATTTTCAATAAACTGTTGTCACTTGAAAAGAAACAGTCTGGACAACGTATGGCCCATTTGGGATCCTGAGAAAATAAACAACCAAGGGAATGCCGCCCCCCCCCCCCCCCCCCGCTCCTGTTTGCCTTTGCAGCCATTTCTGGAATGTACTTTCTTTTCAGTTACTTCTTTTTTTTTTTCTCTCTGTGGCAGATTTTACTTAAAAATAATGCTGTTTATTTAGCATGTCTTGGAGACCCTCTTTTGAAGAAACCGCAGTCATGAATGGCTTTAACGTCCTGCTTCGCAGCAACCAATTCATCCTGCTGCTGCTATTGCTCCTGCAGGTTCAGAGTCTGGGTCTGGATATTGATAGTCGACCTGCTGCAGAAGTCTGTGCCACTCACGCCATTTCACCAGGACCCAAAGGTGAGGAAGAACCCTCAGATTTCATGTAATACTGTTTATAATCTCTTTCCCTCACCTCAAATCCTCCCTAGCTGCTTGGTGACTTCACTCCCTCTCCTCTCTAGTTTCCTTTGCCTTCCTGTCTATTTTGGAGACCAGTTGACTTTTAACTACTTTTGCAGGCTTCCCTAGGTGGAAGGTAAGAGGAGGTGAGAAGGGGGGTGGAACACGGGGATGTGAGTCTGATGGCAATCACCGAGGGCTGTGAGAATCCCTTCCATGTACCCAATGGGAGATGAGGATCATGGTAACTTTAATTAAACACCTCCCTTCATTTTAGAGCTACTTTTCTTCCTCCCTTTCTCCCCCTCAGACTGATTCAAAAGAGAAATTTGTCTAGGAGGTCAAAGATAAGAGTGTATTCTGAAGTGTTTCATTTGTAATTAATGGGCCCTTGTGTTCCAGTGAGGAAGATTATGTTTTAATTAAGGACCAAAAGTAGTGTATAAAGGAGGATTTCTTTATTTGAAAGTGGGTTCTCTGAGGTCAACTACCTTCAGCTGGAGAATGGTCGAATATTGCCCCCCTTCTCCCCCCAAACAGAGTCGAAGTTTAAGGTTTGGATTTGCTTTTGGCACTGGTTGGGTTTTGTTGTTGTTGTTTTGTTTGTTTTTAATAAATCCATTTTCCTGGTTTCAGTTCTTCCCCTTTTGTTCTGAAAGTGGTCACTGCACTGCAGGCTGCTTCTATTAGTAATTCATGCTGTGCTTCCCCGGGGCTATTGTGTGGAAGAATGGTAGCTGCTTAAAATCTCAAGCAGGAAAAAAAAAAAAAAAAAAAAAAAGAATTAAAAAAAGAAGAGAAAGAAAGAAAAGAAACATGACTTAATTATTGTCAGCTATTTAAATTTGTATTGCTTAAAGTGCATTTTTCTTAATCAGTGAATTAATTTTCTCCTACGATCGCAATCCAGATTCTAACCTTTGATACCATAAAATAAATGCGGGCTGTTACAGGCAGACCTTGGGGCTTCCAAATAATTTCTTGGTGAATAAATAAATAATGTAAGGACAAATATTCAGAAAAGAAGGTTTGGGTTAGAAATAAAGTATTTACTAAAATCCATTACTGGACTCTTCACGGACTACAAGGAAACTGTGTTTTCCCTGTGGTGTCAGAAAGACTGAATATTGAAGGCTTCCTCTGTTGGGCAACTGAGAGAATCTACTCAAGAATAACATTGCTACGTTTTTTATTCCTCTAGAAGAAAAAGTGACAGTTTTCACAATGGAATAAGAACACACAAGAAACTTAATTAAATGCTCTAAACATAGCACATCTCCATCAAACAACCATGTCTCCTGCAATTCAACTAGTGAACATTAATTGTTTCCTGTTAGGCCCTGTTTAGGCACAACAGTACACTAAATAAAATGTTAGTGTCATAAACAATAAAGAGATAAATTGTTTTGCGTAGATTTTCTGAGATGGCGTGACTCTGTAGAACAAAGGAGGACAGCATTTGTGTAAACAAGAGCAAGCCCACAGGAGAAGCTTGAGAAAAGCGCTCATCAAAGGCTGAATGCAATATGTAATCAAATCTTAAATCTTTTCAAAATCAGTCAGGTACCACAGCATTCAGGAGGTTGAACAAGTTCAGGGTCATCCTTGTCTACTGTAGACATAGAATTAAGATAAAAAAAGAAAGAAAGAAAGAAAGTAGAAAGTCTTTAGAAGGAAAAACAAGACACCTACCTTTTAAAAACTTAAACCACATTATTTCATTTTATCACTTTGATCTATACAAAGTGTTTATTGAAAACCAGCAGTGCCCACATGTCTCCTTTAGTCATTTCTCCCCCTAGTACAAAACTTGAGTCTTGTCTCTAGAAACTCAGGTACTGTTTCCATCTGTTGATGCTTAACTCTCTTCCTCAGCCCAGGGAGAATTGGAGCAGGTCATAAGCTAATGTGGAGAAATGGGGTTGCACCTTGAAGGAGAAACTGAGAGAGGAGCTGTGGAACACTGTGTCTCAGAACTTCTCATCTTCGAGATACGGATAAGAGTTTCTCATCTGAGACATATGGTCTTTGCACCAAAGGCTTTGTAATCCACTTCTCAGTAATGAGTTTCTATGACTCTGGAAGGTACCATACTTCCCAAGTCCAGGCACCATGTCAAACGACTTGGGTTGGAAGCTAAGATAAGGAACCCATCTTAGGACTTGTCTCTAAGTAGCAAGCTTGGGATTCAAGTTCTGAGGCTGAACTCTTCCTTGATCTGAATCTTCATGACCTGCCTTCACACTGCAGCAACCTTAGCATGGTTACTGCTGTCTTTCTTCCTTCCCAGGCAGAGTATTAGAGATGGATGCACAAGAAATGCATGGGACCTTCTCTTGAATGTAAACTACATCTCTTTCCTTGTAAGAATTACAAAAGCTCCTCCCCGACTCCAAAGAAAGCAGGCCTGGATACTGGGTTCCTCACAAGGAAAACAAAAAATTTTGATGGCCAAGTAGGCATTTTAAAGAACCAAATTATAGGTTTATTTTCTTCCGTATCTTTTCTGTTACAATCAAACCAGAGCGTGGTGCTTTTTCCCATGGCTAATCATCTCATTTCTGTGTTTACCAGCACAGCAGTACTCTGCTCAGAAATTTCCAGATACTCTGAGAAACAGACAATTAAAGGAACTTAACTCTAAATTCGTTTGGGAGAGAGGAAACTAAATAAATTATTCAGGCTTGCAGATGAAACGCCAATAATATTATCCAGTTATAGAATATGCTGTACAGCAGACAGACCCACTTGTCGGCATCCTTTCCAAAGCACAACCTAACAGCAGAAAAACAGGAGATTCTATTGGATCTACTTACGCCTCAGCTTATTTATGTGAAAAATGGACATTCATCATACATACTTCTTATTTTTAATATGAAATAAATCACCATAAATTAATATTGAACAGACATCATTAATTATATTTAACAAATTTTGCTTCTCTTTCTTTTGCCTGCTTCTCAGCTGCATCAAGTAACAGTTTTGGGGTTAAGAATCCTAGTTACTCCAGATGTCTTTACTGGAAGTCCCCATTATATTTCTTTCTGTCCTTGAAATGTTTGTTTTCAACTTCTTAGCAGGAAATGTTCCCTTTTGATTTTTATCCCTACCATGGCAGTTTCTTTCAGCAACTTATGTGAAATTCTGACCTCTGGTGGCTTTAGTGGAAAACAACATGGATGAGAAAAAATAAAGACTTAACATCTGAATGGGATATTTGGAGAAGGCTTGACAAACTGTGAGAAACGTTGAGTACATCACCTTGTTTAATTTTCACAGCATCCATATCTATTATCAAGAACCTAAGCATTTTCATGAGGAAATAATCTTAGAAAGGCCAAGTGGGCTTCCCAACTCAGTCAGAGCCACAGTTAGTTAGTCTTGAAAGTGGCCTCCTACTCTCTTGTCCGGGTCCACTCGTTCCATGTCATACACCAGTTTGCATTAGTCATATACTATGCTTAAAAATGCAGCCACTAGCTACCTTCTGGTGATAATAACCGGCTGTTCATTATCTCAGGACATTGAACTCATGCCCACTCAGCTCATTGGTTGTATTGGACACTAAAGTATGCTAAAATGATGCATACTACTAAAACTGGTGTTTCATGCACTATTTTAGTCTAACACATGTTAAATAAAATATTGCCACTTGCACCTATGTAATGAATTTTCCACCACTTTTTTTTATTGAGAAAAGGAGAAAAAAAAAACAAGTTTCCACCTCCTCCCAGCCTCCCATTTCCCTCCCCCTCCTCCCACCCTTCTCCCCCTCCTCCCACCCTTCTCCCCCTCCCCCCACTCCTCTCCCCATCCCTCTCCAGTCCAAAGAGCAGTCAGGGTTCCCTGCCCTGTGGTAAGTCCTAGGTCCTCCCCTCTCCATCCATTTCTAGGAAGGTGAACATCCAAACTGGCTAGGCTCCCACAAAGCCAGCACATTACGTAGGTTCAAAACCCCGTGCCATTGTCCCTGGCTTCTCATCAGCCCTCATTGTTCGCCATACTTAGAGAGTCCAGTTTTATCCCATGCTTTTTCAGTCACAGTCCAGCTGGCCTTGGTGAGCTCCCAATAGATCAGCTCCACTGTCTCAGTGGGTGGTGCACCCCTCGTGTTCCCGACTTCTTTGCTCATGTTCTCCCTCCTTCTGCTCCTCCACCACTTTGCACTTTAATTATTGCAATAAACTTTGCCAAAGATATATAATTTCCATCTGCCATATAAGGAAACTGCGGTTCGTAGCTAGAGTGTCACTAGCCGAGTGTCACTGAGTTGGAAAGAACCAACTGGACTTGGGTTCAACACAGTTCCATTCGCATTCTCTGTTGCAGTTAGTCTGCTGGATGCTCTCCTTAGGGCCATGGGGAGTGTGGCATAGTACTGTGCAGAGCAGGAAATTAGCTGCTTTGGGTTTTGCTTGAAAACTCCATTGGTCCCCATAGAACTAATTCATGGGGGAAACACAGGCAGGGATCAGAGCACAGAGCAACAGGAGTTTGTGTGGCACTGTTCTTTTTAAGTAAGAGAGGTCATTCTGTGAGGGAAGACTGGAGGAGATCACCCCTACTGGGAGGAAAAAGCTTTTCTCCGGAAAGCTTTATTAACCATAAGAAAAGGGACATATATTTGGTCATCTTCTTTATTACTTGGCATGATTTGATATTGCAGAACTGACACGATTCTCCAAATAATTCTCAGTGTCCAATAAGACGAATGCTTCTGTGATGTCCTCATAAGTAAATCTGGATACGCCCTGAAGGTATCAGAATCCCTCACATTCAAATTTAAAGGCGTATCACTTGCCAGGTAACTCTCAATGATCTTTGGTTTGTGAATTTGATGTCTGGTGAGGTACAATATTGGCACGCCAGTCTCATGGACTTTAGTGGCCAAGTTACAAGTAGAAAAGGTTTAGCAAGAGCTGGAGGAGAATGAGCCTGGTTCTTACAGTTTTGGTTCT